TGAATAACTTCATGATTTTGATATTAGAAAGCTGGAGCTTGCTATATTACTTTAAGTTGAGTGATTTTCTAATTGAATTAAATTACAGTGAACTCTCACTTATGCACCGGTGTAAGAGGCCAAGAGAAAAAAAAGCGCATAAGTGAAAGAGGCGCATGAGTGAAAAACTTCAAAATTCTTAAATGCAACATAAATTGCAGTGACAATATGAATAAATATGCTTCTAAAGATTAAATGTTAATATTTATACTGTTTTGGTATTTACTATAATTATACAAAGAAAACATTTAACATACCTTAAGACAATTTATTTTATTACAGAATAATCTTAATCCATGTTTGTATTTGTTTTTGTCGACGTTATTTAAAAACAGTTTTTTCCAGTTCATATAAATGGGATAAGGGGCAGTTTCAGAAGCAAAATTAAATTGTAAATAGTCAGGAATAGTGTCTAAAGCTTTCAATACTGCTGTGTGATTTGGAGAAACTTTATCATCTCATCAGTATCATCCACCACGTTCTCATCATTCACAAGTTTTAGTTAGTTACATGATAAATTTCTAAGAAAAGTACTTGACGTCATAATATGCTGCACAATAAGTTGTTTGATTACTAATGTCATTAAACAGATCACCTCCTTTTATTTACTTATGATGTCCATCTGACTGCAAGTAAGTGATCGCGGTCTCTTTCATCTTTCGTATTCCAGGTGTCTTTTTTTTTCTCTAGAAAACAGCATGGGAGTAGAACTAACCTCTGGACAAGAGGAATGGTCATTTTCTAAAAGATGAATGGGCTTTCATTGTTGTTGATGTAACAGATAAGACATCCTATTCAAAATTCTAGAAAGAATGTCTTTCCAGAAACAGCAAAAATGAAAAGGTCACATGGGGAAGCAAATTCAATAGGATCTAACAACATATATTTCTTTTCATCTGTAACAAGGATTGCTTATTTGCTTAATTTTTATTTAAAGCATTTTTTTTAAATAAGAAAAAATATTTAAAGGATTAAAAAATTAAAATGTTAGCCTAAAATTTCGGCGTATAATTGAAAAATTGACTTTTAGAGCGACGCATAAATGAAGGATGTTTATCATTATTTTCCTATCTAATGTACTGGGACCTATAAAAATCGTCGTATAAATGAAAAAGGTGCATAAAAGAGGTGGTGCATAAGTGAGAGGTCACTGTATGTTAGTTGTAGAACTACTTTTCTGCAAATCAATCGAACTCAACATAACAGCGCTCGCATTATTTGCTATTTTAAATGATTTTATGAATGAAAAGAACATAGAAATCAAAAATTGCGTAGGAATATGCACCGATAGTGCTCGTACAATGTCCGGAAGATTCAAAAGTGTACAAGCACTTGTAAAACAAAAATCGCCTCAATGCGTCTGGACACATTGCATGATCCACAGAGAAGCTTTGGCTTCGAAAGAAATGAGTCGTGGTTTGAATATTGTGTTAACTACGGTTGTAACCATAGTAAATTATATAAGAATGAGACCCCTGAGATCGAGAATCTTTTCCGCACTTCGTAAAGACATGGGTTCAGTACATTCAGCATTACTATTTAATTGCGAGGCAAGATGTTCATCACGTGATAAATTTTTGCAACGCGTTTATGAATTAAGAGAAGAAATCACCATTTTCCTAGAAGATAGCAGACTGGAAGCCGAGAATTTTCGCGATTGTTTATTTGTGATGAAATTGAGTTACTTGGTTGTCTTTATTCCAGAAATTAAATAACTTGAATCTTCAACTCCAAAAAGCAAATACACATATGTTGGATGCGAGTGATAAAGTTAATACTTTTTGTAGAAAATTGGAATTGAGTGACAGAAATTTAACGCAAAAAAATCTAACAATGTTTTCAATTTCAAATGTGGATAATTGTACTAACACTTGTAAAGCTGAAGAACATGTAAATGTCGTTTTTGTAAGCATTGAAAATCATTTAGCCATGCTGGCGAAGAATTTGAAAAAGTATTTTCTTGCTGACGACAAACTGATAGCAAGTTACTAGTGGGTTAGGGATCCATTTCATAAGACTTCCGAAGGACTCTCTGAAGGAATGAGGAAGAAAAATTCACAGACTTCACAACAAGTGGCGAAACCAAAATACAATTTAGTAATTAATCACTGTTTGAATTTCGGGCAAGAGTAGAGTATGATTTTCTGCACTAAAAACAAGGGCACTTCGCATTCTATTACCAGTTTTAACATTCTACCTTTGTGAAATAGGGTTTTCTGCTGTGGCTTCTTTGAAGACCAAATATAAATCTCGGCTAAATATAGAAGCAGAACTGAGAGTGGCTATTTCTAATATGAAGCCTTACCTCTAAAAACTTTGCTTTGCAAGACAGGCCCAAGGCAGTCACTAATAATTATCAAATTTGTTTTCAATTTAATATGTTTTTATTAAGTAAGGTGGGGGAACCAAAGGTGGTTAGTGCTTCTAACGTAGCCTCCCCCCCCCCTCCAAAAGTAAAATTAAATTTATTTTGAATCACAAGATGGCCTTGCTGCATTGCAAATCTTGTATCTGAGGTGCACGTGGCTGAATTGAAATATATTTCCTTGAATGGCCTCCATTGTATGAAGTGATTTTATTTTTTGCAGTTGTCGTTCTAATTTTCGGGTATCTAAGAAGATATTGTAATTTATATGTGTTTAAATTCTTAGAACTTTGAGTTATAATATGTTTTCTGAAAGTTTATTTCTTTTTATTTAACCACATTACTTTAATTCAAATTAATCTATCAGATTAATAGTTTTAAGTTGTACAAATGGTGACCATATGCATGTTCCCAAGGTGACCTGACAACGGTGCCGCCTTGGGGACACGTGGGCCACCTTCGGAAACAAACGTGAAATCTATAAAAGAGTTAATTAAAAATCATTACGTAGCATATTATTTATCAAAAAGGAATTATTTAATTGAATATCAATTGATTAGTCCATTTTAAGCAAATGTGGAACTTCGGTATTTTTCAAATTTTTATAATATTTCGACGTTCTGCACTTCAGTAGAGTTTGCGATATTTTGCTCCAAGTTTTTTGTTTTGTTTCCATTTTAAAGTGATTTTTTAAGTATTTTTGTGGTAGTTATGTGTGTTTTTGTGGTAGATTCTGGTATTTTCCTGTAAATTTGGATATTTTTTATACTAGTTATGGGTTAGGTTAGTTAACTCTAGTATGGTTATTTAACTCTTACTTATTAGTTATGGGTTAGGTTAGTTAATTCTAGTATGGTTATTGAACTCTTACTTATTAGTTATGACTTGTTAACCCTTTTGACAGAATGAAATCAGTAATTCTTGCTTTATTCTAAAGAGTTAGCTCAAAATAATCACTAGTGACTTCACACAAGAACTATATCACTGTAAAATATTTATAAACAAATTATACACTCTAAAATCAAATATCCTTTTTTAAAATCCGGTAAACTTGTATTGAACCAGCAAACTTGTATTGTATTGTACCAGCAAGGCACTTAAGGTACTTTTTTAAAAGACGTTTGCCAGTTCAAGTGTCTTTTCTAAAGATAATTTGAGTAAGGGATTTCAATATAGGGCTAACCTTTGGAACCTGTGGAAGCACAGAAGCTACAATTTCGAAATTGTACTATAAAATAAATGAAATTTTATTTTACAATTAAAAGTATGAGTGGTATACATTAGAGACAGGTGTAAGATGTTACAGAAAAATTTCAGTCACACAGACTTAACCAGAAAATTAGGAAAAATCCTCAAAGCAAAGCCATTTTTGGCTCCCCTCCTTAAGTTTTGATTTAATAAGTTGTTTTACTTTAATAAGATATTGAATATGTCGAAATGTATTTTGTTTTCTTTGCTTATGTGCGCTTTCCTTCCATCCAGTTAATCAATTTTTAAAAAGAATATTTTCTCCCTGGTACTCTCGCGCGACCCCTCAAGTGTGTTCGAACCCCCCTAGGGGGGCGCGCCCCACAGGTTGAGAATCGCTGCCCTAAGGCCTATGGTAACCTAACCTATAATATAGCTATCAGGTGGAGACTTGTTTTTTAAAAAAAAAAAAAAGAAAAGAAAAGGCCTCAGAAATTGTGAAAGCATACAAAAGTTGCTTTCAAAATCATCATTAGCCAATAGCTGAAAATTAAAACGCAGTTAATAACATATTTAAGAAACAGCAATAAAATAAAACGTGTGTCAGTTAGCATACAGATAGTATATAATTCTTCCTATTCTTGTAAAACTTCTTATATACAATATTTTTAGTTTTTCCATTTGGTGCCAATAAATATAAGTTCTTTTCATCACCAACTCTTGAGCAGCCAACATAAAGCTGACCATGTGAAAAGCAAGGCTTCTGCAAGTCAAGACCAACGACTTTTAAAGATTGTCCCTGAGATTTATTTATACTCATCGCAAAACTAAGTCGAACAGGAAACTGAAGTCGTTTAAGCTGAAACGGAATGTCTGAAGATATGATGGGGATGCGAGGAATGAGCACACTATTTCCTGTTGAATGTCCTGTTATAATCATAGCTTCAATAACATTAGGCATCAATTTTTTCACAATCAATCTTGTTCCATTACACAATGCAGGTGGATACAAATTTCTTAAAAGCATAATTGGTGCTCCAATTTTCAATTCTAATTTATGTGCAGGCACTCCAGGTCGTTCCAATGAGTTCAAAAATTCTGTCGGATAGTTGACAACTTGATCTATTTCCATGACAGCGTCGATAGACTTGTAAATTTCCAGAGCACCAGGTAATTTCTTTAAGAGTTTGTTATTTATCACGTTAACAATATCATTTGTTGGAGAAAAGATAGCTCTTTCACATAGTCATTGAAGGTTGCAGTAATTTTCATGAATATTAGGAAAAACCATTTCCTTAAGTTCGTCGGTTGTGGCAACACAATTTCCAATATTTTCCACATCTATAAGCCCTTCTTCATCGCCACTAATATCACCATTTCCAAGTCTTAGAAGATTGTTGGCAAATTCTTATGCAAAGACTTGTCCTGTTAAATGAACTCGCATATTTGTTTTCAGCCGCAATCTTTGAACATTTGTCCAAATGTAGGATGACTTTATACAAGCATTTATTTCATCTGCCTTTGTCCCACGTTGTATTACAAGAAGTGTTTGTCGAAAATCACCAGATAAAACTAAAGTTACACCTCCCATACACTTGTTGTTTTTTAAAAGGTCCTGCATAGTGATATTCAGGGCTTCTAAAGCAACTTTATGTGACATAGTACACTCATCCCAAACTATTAGTTTACATCTTCTAAGAACATCAACTTTGTGTGAGCTTCTGGAAATATTGCAGGTAGGATGCTCGACGGTTGATATATTTAAGGGTAATTTAAACACTGAGTGAGCTGTTCGTCCACCAGACGAAAGAGTTACAGCAGTACCAGAGGATGCAACAGCAAGTGCAATCTTATTTCTTTGTCTCACTTTTGCTAAAATCAGATTTATGAGATAAGTTTTTCCTGTTCCACCAGGTGCATCCATAAAAAATATTCCACCGACGTCATTAAACACAGCAAATAAGATTTTCTCCAAAGCTTCCCTTGATCCAGATTTGGCTCATTTGAATCAATGTATGATGTCATTTCATCTGTATTATACACTCCTCAAAAGTGAAATTGCTGGGCTCACCCAACACGGTATTCCAGCAAGTCAATGCCAGGCCGCTTGTCGCACGGCGAACTCTTAACAGCCTGACTGGATTTGACATCCTTCCCTGGCCGACAGCCTCTCCAGGTCTGAATCCCATAGAACACCTATGGGATCTCATTGGACGTGGCATGAACAGAGGACCAATGGCGCAAACCATCGATGTTCTGCGCACAGCAGTGGATGTGGCTTGGCAAAGGTTACCTCAGGCAACCATCAATGGAGTCATTGATAGCATATGCCTCGCCGGATTGAGGCCTGTATAGCTGCCCGGGGTGGCCACATTAGATATTGAATAAAGTGCTTTATAATGATTTTATTAGTCTGTTTTTTTAATCATTTGCATATCCATCTCACTACTATCGCTCCTGAAATTTGCATGACGCTACGTGCTTTATTTCTTGGTGTTGCAATTTCACTTTTGAGGAGTGTAATTTGTTGCCCTCAAATTTTCACTGTTTAAGTCAATGGTATCTGTTTGTTGTGGCAAGGGAAGTCCATAAGTTTTTAAACCAGAACCACCCAATTCTTTGACCTTGTTTTCAAGAAGAATTAATGCCTGATTGAAGATGGCATCATCATAATTTAAATCCATGTCAGTACTTCTAATCCTGGCTTGGTGCAAAGCATCTTCAGCCATATTTTCTCTTTGTAAATTCCACAATTTCAGAGGGTTTGCAATAGAACATGTTTGCAACATAATTGCAAATAAATTACGCAGCATTTCAGGTGATCGAACAACTGCAGCTTCTTCTAACGTGCTTTTCCAATGCGAGTCATCTTCAAGAAGTCCTCTAACCTGGCAAGCCTGCTTAAATGCTTCGCATTTTATTTCTCCAAAAGTCTTTAAGTCACTGAAAGATGTAGGTCCGTGCACCTCATGATCCTTTGTTTACATATTTGCAAACATATTTAATAGATTTTATCGAATTACAAAATTCCACATTAATATGGGCATTAAAAGTTTTTGACAACAATGGACAAAAAGGAGCTACCCATCTATTATCAATAACAATATCAGAACTCTGTACTTTTTTAACTGTCGTATAACCACCATCCTCTGGACGCTGTCGACGATACAAGGGATATCCATCTTCCCATGTTTGTGTTTCTTTCAAAAAATTTTGAGGCTCCCTCTTTGTACATTTTCCATCTTTCATGCAAGGAGACTGTTGATCCAGGATTCCACAAGGGCCAAGTATCATTTGTGTCTTAATAACATCATGCAAAACTGGATCAATTTCTGGATCTGGTATTTCTGCACTTATTACATTATCTATGCTATGAACATGGATTTTTTCATGCAGCCAAATTAAGGTATGAGCATGTGGGAGACCACGTTTTTGCCACTCTATAGTGTACATAAAACATTGAACAAAGCCAAATACTTTTCCTTTGTTGATAAGAATCATAAGAGCTTTTAGTTTAAGATGGAAAACTGTTGCTAGCAAATCATGTCGATCGTGACTTTTCTGCCTAGGCATTAATTCATTGGTAACCTCCTGCCACTGTTGATTACAGGTGAATGTAATAAACAAATCAGGCTTCCAGTAATTTCTAACATATGTCGTCGCATCTTGAGTTCGTTCATGCATGTAGCGTGGACCACCGGTAAATGTAGAAGGTAAAATTACCATTTTACCAATATCATGAACACTCCCGTCTCTGCTTAGGGCATCCTTGAGATGAACACACTCTTCAACGCGTAGTTTTGTCTGGTTCAAGCGTACAAACCTCAGTCGCTCAGATTCAATTTTTGCAAACATGTCCACAATAAATTGATTAAAAAGTCCCTTGTTTGCATCTTAAAATAATATTGAAATTTGCTGCTCAAAACATAATTCGATAGGCATAAGAATCCATGGCTGAAATTTTCTTAGAAGTCGGGAAGCCAGTAGTTGGGTTTACTTGCCTTAGTTCAAAATGGTAGCCGTCTTCACCTTGCCAGAACATCAAAGGATACTGCAATGCATCATATGCTCGGTGTGTTTCTGCAATTTTTTTAATTTCATTACTTTTTAATTCCAATACTATATCTCTGCTACTGCATACATCACCTGCAAGAATAACTGCCACCTCCGATGTATTTGGAGCATTAAATTGTCTTTCATGCTGACCGACAGGTGTTTTATCTGCCTGAATTATAACTTTTAATTCATGAGTCATTTTCTCCATGACCAACTTAAAACTTCTCACGTAATTATTGTGTTCATGCAACATTTCTTGCAAACTTGAAACTAATGCTTGTTTTGCTTGCGAAACATTCCTGCAACGTTGTTCGGATTGCTTTTCCTGATCATCTACAAAGTATAATTGAAGAAATTTTGGCTTATCATTTATTTGTGGTTGTAGACTTCCTATTCTGTGGTACACTTGTCCCTAAACTTTGAAAGTAGGCATAAAGCCTTGTTCTCGAATTTCACTCCCAGATCCAAATGATGTCACCTGAAAGCATGAATTGTATCCTCTGATGTTACTTTGAAAATGTACTGTTTCAATTGAAGAATCTGTTAACAATGCCAGTAGAGGTTCAGGAGGTGTTTGAAGTTCAGAGAGCTTAATTTTTCCTTTGCTACAACACATACTTGGTGTTTCACCTTTCCATTTTAATGCCTGGCAAATAATGCATTCTGTTGCCATTCCACCAATTTTTATCAATGGATCTGATGCATAACATAAAGATGGGTTGTACATAAATGCAGAGTTTTCCTTGTCTTGCCACAAATGCGATCGAGATTGGGATATTAAAGCACGATTTTCTTCTAGCCTTCTTCGACGTTCCTGGGATGTTTCTCGGGTCCTTGCATTTCTGGTCGAGACACGATTATTTTCTAATCTTCTTCCGCCTTCATCAGATAATTCTTGGGCCCTAGCACTGCTAGTAGAGATACAATCCTCTTCCAATCTTCTTTGACGTTTCTCAGGTGTTTCTCGGACCCTAACATTGCTAATTGAGACACGATCCTCTCCTAATCTTCTTTGACGTTTCTCTGATACTTCTTGGGCTCTAGAATTCTTTGTCGAAATTCGGTCATGTTCCATCCTTCTTTGACGTTCCACAGACGTTTCTTGGGTCCTTCTTCTTCTTTGAGAATCTCTTAATATCTTTTTCTTTGACAAAATACAAAGTTTTTTGGAAGGCGGTTCTGCAATGTCAGTAATCGGGTATTTAAGAAGTCAGCGAATACTTTAGAACAACAATTACTATGAAAGCAAATCATGAAACTTCAATATTAAAATCTAAGTGCTTACCTGCAAACTGAAACTTTCTGAAAATAACTAATTACATTTAATAAAAGCTGTTAAAAAAAGAATAGAAAAACCAAAGAGATCCAAGTTCAATTGTAAGGCTCGCATTAGCATACATGTATAAGAGGGGAGAAAAGTATATGCATTTTTTAATAGTTTTTTGAATATGGCTCTTTGAGGACGAAAAAGCATAGATTTTCTTAGAAAATGACTGATAACTAAAAAACTAATCCAAATTTTTGAAAAAGAAAGATAATACTTCTTCATTATGTCAAAACACAATTTTGTGCCAAGTTTCGTGCCAGGGCGAGGCTTCTGGGGCGATATATTGTGATTACAGACAGACAAACAGACACACACAACCGCGTTTATTATTATTTATAGATTTTAAAAAGAAGTCTTTATAAAACTAATTTTTTATACTTGTGTAATTATCCAGTAAGAATTATAATTTGAATGGATTAATATGTACTTTTGAGTTTCGCCGTTATTGACCAATCTCGCCAGACGGAAAAATTATTTTTTAAAACATTTCTTGTAAGAGAAACAAAATTTACGATATTTAAGAAGAAAAAATGATTTGTATGATTTTCTTCTTTACCAGTAGATGGAACTATCGATCTGTTTTAAAGATTTCTGTGATTTAACAGATTCTGACTTACAAGGTTGCTGTTCATTTACGTCGCACTAGAGCTGCACAATGGGCTATTGGCGACGGTCTGGGAAACATCCCTGAGGATGATCCGAAGACATGCCATCACAATTTTGATCCTCTGCGGAGGGGATGGCACCCCCGCGTCGGTAGTCCGACGACCTGCACGCGAAGTCGAGCACTTTACGCTAGAACAGTTTAACGAGGACCAATACCACACAACCTCGGTCCCTGCGCAGGCTGATCCAAGTGGTCACCCACCCGCACACTGACCGCAGCCAGTGATGCTTGACTTTGGTGATCTGCTGGGAACCGTGCCTTAACGATCAGTCAACTGCGGGACCTGACTTACAAGGAGTGCAAAGTTATGAATTTTGATACAGTTGTTTAAATTATATATATATATGTAATAACAGGGCTACATCACTGTTATCACTGTTGTATTTAGCTTGAAATAATGCAGTCGTAAGCCACCAGACGTTCTAAACAGGTTTATTTAAATGAAGGCTGGTATTGATAACAGTTCACATCCACATTCCCTACGGGAGGGGAATGGACAAGACTTTTTTGTAATCAGTTTCTTGGTCATTCTTTCGTTTTCCTATTTTTCCTTTTATTTTTTGTGTTTGTTATTGTTACCCTTTACATTTTTTTTCGTCGATATTAACCTGATAATGAACGCATCCATTGCCTAGATCTATCTTTGAATCATTTGAACTTTTTGGATATTCTTTCTTTCTATTTTTTCGATGCTTACTTTTACTGAAACATCCTAAACATTCATTTTTTCGATGCTTATTTTTTTGAAACATCATTAACTTTTCTTTTTTCGATGTTTACTTTTTTTGAAACATCTTTTTCATCATTTTTAACCTTAACAATTTGAAAATTCTGCTGTTTAATGTGCAAAGATAAGTTGTCACTTTTAGAATTA